TGTGGTTCTATACAATATAATATGATTCATTTTCCTACTATAATATGATTCATTTTCCTAGTAATGGTAGGTCTGTGTAACAATGATGTGGGTTGTCATTATGAAAAACCCTAAGTTAGGAAAAGTTTATACGGAGGGGAATGGACAATTTATTGATATGATGCATCTATAAGTTAAGTATGTGTATTGTTGTTGATGATTACAATATGCTGTCCCATTAGAGACTTTCACCAAACTTGGCAAGTTAAATTACGATGCATAGTAACGTTTATTAAGTTTAAAATACAAGGTGCAAAAGGCTCAAATTGAAGTCTCCATGGTCTAATAACAACACATTTGGGTGGCCGCACGGTTCGATAGAAACTTTTGGTATACTCAAATATCTTGAGGGTTGAGTCAATCCTGGTTGTTAAATAGGGGTAACACATTAGAGTCTTACCCAATTAATAATCTAGGGTCTTAGAGGATTAATGAGATACGTAAACACCAATATACACTCGTATAATTCACTATAAATTATAACTAAGACTTCATAAATACAAATGGTCCATAGATAGCCAGAGGTTAAGTAATGGACTCTTTACTTTAAATCACAAATCTATACTTTATTTAAAACTATTTCCAAATTCTAGCACATATACACCGAGAAAACATAGGACAACCCTGTTTATGATTATAGAAGACGATCTAAGTAAACTTAGTGGAAAATTGAATGAATTCTATTTTTGGTAGAAAAAATATTAATTGCTTTAATATTTTTAAATACCCAATTAATCATATTTTATTTTTATTTATCAAGTACATTACCCAAGGTATTAAAAAAAAAAAAACCATCGAAAAGGTACTAAATGAAAGACATTAAAACTCTTGTTACACAAATAATTAAGTAAAACATTAGGTACTCGTCTGCAATATAATTCCTCCACCGACTTTTAGTTTCTTTAGAACCCTAAGCTAACATATTACTCACACCGATTCGTTGACTCGGTGGTCTCCAGACTCAGTCATGGAGACCTTCGTAGCCTCTGCTCTGCCTCCGACGGAACGCGCCTCCTCCGAATCGAACGAAAGGCAGCTCGGCGCTCTCAGCCGCCGAATCCTCTCTCGTTACGAGGTCTGAAGCGACGCTCGCAGCGCATCAAAACGCCTTCGAAGCTCTACAAAGTCGCAGTACTGGGCGTTGATGAGGAAGTGACGGGCGAAACACAGGAGTACTACTGGAATGTACGGGAAGAGTCCGTACAGAGACGACGACAGGAGTCATAAAGAGAACAATAAAAATTGTAGTAATGGTAAAGATAAAGAGGATGGTAATGGTACGAACGAGAGGGAGGGAACGGGAGAGGACGACGGTGTGATGATGAAGAAGTGTGGAGTGGCGGGGGTAAATCGAAGCCGATGGCGTTGACGAGGTTTTGCCACCCGCATATTTGTCGGATTCGAAACAGAAGTTTATAAGGCCTGTTCTTATGTTGTTAAAAGGTATTATTATTATAATTTGTTTAAAGAATTTTGTGATTATTATGTCTGTTATGTTTGTAGTGATACTGTATGAAATTATGTTTGATTGGTTGATTGTATTATAGCTTGCGTCCGGTGATCAAGGTTTCGAATTTATTTGGTTAATGAATGGAACATAAATTCGAGGTTTTTCCTCATTATGTGTTTGAGATTGTAAAAAGTTTAGGTGGGTATGATTTTGGCGAGATTTTTGATGAGTTTTAATGTGTGAGGGGTTTGTGATGGATTTGAAAACAAGAAAAATCCACTTGTATTAGGTAACTGATTGAAATAAATGAAAAACACAAGTGGAATTTGATAAATTATGGGGGTTTGGTGGCTATCATTGGGGAGATTTTTTGATGAGTTCTAAGATTTCAAGGAGTGTGTGTGATGGGTTTGTAAAATATGAATAGGGTGGACGTTTATTGGTCTTTAATTCATCGATGGGACAAAGGAAACAAAAATTGAAGTTGGTTAATTTTATGAGGTCTAGGTAGGTAGGATTTTAAGGGGTTTATTTTATTATTTTTGTTTTGAGTTCTATGGTATAGAGGAAGGGTTATGATGAACTTGAAAAAAAATTGAATTGGGTGAATTAATACTATGTATTAAAGCTGGGGATTAATTCATTGAGAATAGATGAAATACAAATCATAAGGTTTGGCCGACGTTTGAAATTTGATAATTTAGGAAGTTGAGGTGGGGATGATGTTAGGGAGTTTTTTTGAGCTCTGGATGTTGAGGATGGTTGATGACAAATTTGAAAAAAAAATAATCTAGGTGAATTTGAATTGTCTTTTGGAGTTTTTGATAATGTAATGAAGCTTGGGATTAATTGTCTTTTGGAAATGTGTGTTAATTGAATAATGAAACACAAAGTCATAGGGAAGAGTAAAATTTAAATGTATGGAATTGATAGATTTATGGAAAAATTTGGGCAGGCATCATTTAGGAGGTATTGGTCACTTTATAGCATGAAGTGCTTATGATGATGAATTTGATAGAAAACTGATTCTAGGTTAAGTTTTGGGACTTCGATGTGTGTTTAGCTAAAATATGGAGTGGGACTGACACAATTCCATGGCCTTACACAAAATTTTAGAAAGTTGTAATGAGTTCAAAATTTAGGGTTGTGTTGAGGAAACAATGTAATAACGTAGGTGGCTAGCTAATGGCTAAGAAGCTACTCTTGAATTTATAGAAGTATGGTTTTAAGAATATTTTTTCTTTCTCACTTGGTTGTGGATTGAGTACAAGTATCGGTGTTGGATGTTTCCGTGATGATAGGGGTGTGTCTTGTTGAGTTGTGATGTGGTTGGGCATGGGATGTATTAGTGTTGATGTCCCAAAGATGTGACCCCTTATTTTTTTTGGTGGGAGATGAGGAAACATAGAGTTAATATATTATGATAAGAGAGAAATGTGAAAATGGGGAACCAGTAGTCCACATGAAAAACAATCAAAACTGCAAAATACGCAAAAGAGCATGAACTTAAGCCACTTCATATTCCAATTTCTAAATATTTCTATATGGTTTGAGGATGAGACAACAAAAGTATAGAAAATTTTTAGTATTAAGGATTACTAAGAACATCGTACTCATTGGCACAGATAAGAGTTTGCTTTCTGATTTAGTGTTAGATAATATCCGAGGGATAGAATACTCCAGTATACAAGATTTATATACAGGCGTTCACATTGAGGAGGTATGAGATTTTTTTTCTTGGGTTGGTCTCTAGAGGAATGGTAATCTAAGTCATAAAGGCTCGAGTCTCATATATCAATCGATTTTCATTTTGGCAAAGAAATTGATGTTAGGAAAAGTGAATTCAATTGGCATTTTGTGATTGTTTATACATGAATTGAGCAATTATTAGTTATTATTTTTTCATTTTGTTAGAGTATGGGATAAAGCCGCATTGGTGGGTATCTATGTGTGCACTACAAGTTTCGCATAGATGTGCCAAGTCTTTGTCTCAAACATTGAGTTTTTAGAGCCTCTTGAATGAAGAATAAGTTCACTTTTTATTTTGAGGGATACAGCAAATTTCATGAAAGTGCACTTGGTTGGAAATTTCAAAAAACAGTTTTCAAAACAATCATAAAAGTAGTGTCGAATTAGAAAACTAAAAAAAACCTGTGTTTCTAAATATTTTACTACATCTTCTCCCTTGATAAATAAATAAAATAGTGGCTGTAAGCTCAAATCCTGAAAAATATCAAGCTGGCCCGACAATAAATCTCAGTCTTTCCATAAAGTCTTATTCAGTATATTTTTCAATTTGGGGTATTACGGGGGGAATGAAAAGACTAGATTGAGACTGATGGAATCTTCTTGCTTAGGCTCTATTTTATAGACACGGGCTCGATAACCTTTTGGATGAGATTAGTTTTGCTGATCTTACTAAGTCATTTACTAGTGATTGCATATGGTACGTAAAGAGATGAAGAGCTGCAGATAAAAAGTCTTAAATCTGTGATTCAAATTAGCTTACAAGTGAGGACCTTGAGGTTTTTGCTGCGTTATATGAGACGAGTACATAATCTACTTTTACTTTCTGTTGGATACTGGGTTGAACTGGGATTTATGTCCATGATTGCTTCTTCTTGTTGTTAGGAGAGGAAACAAACACAGTGAGAAACCTTTCCTGATCTAATGTTTTCCTAATAAATGGTGGTTATATGCAGTGTGCGTACTGGACTTATTCTCTGTGGAAAGCCAATCATGAGATCCACGTTCCTTCTCTGTGTCCAATCATTTTCAGAAGGCTGAAAAGCATGTTGCCCGAGCCCTAAAAAGGCTGGTCTGAATGTACTTCACCAAGCAAGGTTGCCCAAGTTACTGTTTGTAGTCGCAGAATATGTGCGGCAAATTCAAACTAAAAGAAGAGCTGCTCAGAAGGCCTCTATAGCCAAAGTGAATTAAGGAAGAAAAAGATAGTTAAAAATCTAGTGGTTCTGCGAATTAAATGGTTAATGTGTGTTATTTCTGCAGATTTTGATTTGATATGCATAGGTTACTATGTAGGGAAGCGATAGATTTAAAATCTGGGGTTGAGTATATTCTGATGAATGAAGCTGGACCATCTGGATGTGAAGTGAGAACTTATCACAGTTTCTAAGACGGGATTATTGTACTTAATCAACAAAGCCTTAACCCTCGGTACATGTCTTTGCTAAAAGAGTACTATGGGGCTGTTTATTTCATTTTTTTAATCTTGAATAATATCTGGAGCATATGAATATTATAAAATTAAGAATCGACATCTTGGGTTCGATGACCATAAAACATACACTTTGCTGATGTTAAATGACAAGGCAGAAGGGTAATTAGAAATGCATGCCCGAAGTTTCAGCATATTGATTTTGGCCAATATCATATGTCAATAATTAAATAGGCCTTTGTATGAAAGTTTCTAGATGCCTGGTTTTGCAATGAGCATCGATGGGACTGCTTGCTTTCACATATTTGAAATAGCCGTGTAACATTACGCTTTGTTAGTAAATGATTTCTCCAATACATATTTGTCTGTGTAGAAACTGGGGAACTTACTGTATCTTGTAGTAGTTGAAATAACGATCAAATCCAACCACAACAGCTCCCACCTAATCAGCAAATGAAAATTTCTTAGCCATGACCAAAATTTGGGAGAAAGATATAGCTGTTCATCACTTTTTACCAAGTTTACCAAGTTGCAAAGTAAATACAATCGTAAAGCATTTACAGGAAGCCTTATTCTCCCCCGTATTTCGTATGAAAAAAACAATAATGAGAATCCAAGCCAGAAACGTAGCAACAAGAAGCAAGAAAGAAAAGAACTTTACATCTTTATCATGCTCCATAAGGAAACCAGGCTTTAGCTCTATCTTTTTCTCACCATCCGCCTGTAAGACAAAGAATATATCAACTAAGTTTTCTCTTTAAACATTTGAAAGGAACTGATAAACCATTGGTGGCAAAGTAGATAGAACTATGGTTCAGCATTGTGGACAAAACTAGCTATCTGTAAGCCTAAATTAACAATAGCTAAACACGGCAAGCTATCAAATTAATATATAGTTGAAACTTTGACTCTCATGACAAGTGGAAATTTTACATACAGGTCCACCAAGATATTGATATCCAGCCAGCTCAAGCTCCTTCAAGATGCCATCCTCTCCGATCACATAAACCTAAATCACAATCAGCCATCAGTCCATCACCATTAATGACATAATGGTTAAAAATAAAATAAAAATAGAGGCCAAAATCTTCAGTACCAATTACCTTTTTATCTTTTGGGAAATCAATCGATTTCAAGTAAGCAGCAGCTGCAAAAGATGATGCAAATATTTCCTCCTAAAAGAATTCATTTGGGTTAAGAAGAGTTGTTGTTGACAGAACTTTAGCAAAACCTTGGAGACAAAGGAGTCATTAACTAACCTCATTAACACTCAGACCAAGTGTCTCAAACTTTTTACCATACTGTTTCCTAGACTTTGTCGAGTTGTTGGTAACAAAAACTAATCTCTTGCCCTGAAGAAAATGAAAGATAAACATTAGCTGATAGCCTCGGAAACTTCATCTTGTTTCAAGACATTTAAATTTTTTGACACATACTGCTAGAGTTGAACTAATAATCATAAATAATCATACCATTCATGACAAAAGAAATATACAAACCTTGGCCCGGAGCATATCAAGGGTTTCTGGGACTCCATCTATTAATTTATCACCTTTCCAAATTACTCCTGCAAATTATTCATTAATTAGTATGGCAAGAAACCTGATCAGAATACCTTAGGCCTGATCTCAACTGCAACCAACCCTATCCAAAGCAAACAAATAAATAAATAAAAAAGCCACAAATTGCTTCTCAACATATCTAAAATGAATTTCCTTTGACTTATAAACTAGCTTACAAGTTTAGCAAATTAGCACGCGACTACAGACTTCACCAATTTCATGATTAAGAAATACATGACCATTCAACGAAATGAAACACACAAACATACACCATAAAGTTTCACAAATCTGTTAAGAATGACAGAATAGATACATGAAAATGCAGATACAAACACATACATGTGACCTTTTGATTAGAAACTTGAGATAACAATCAATGGTCCAATCAAAATAGTATCAAAAGTCCTAACAAAAATCAACTTATAATAACTATTAGAACATATTATCAAACATAGTAACTCGGAAAACTCACACAAAACATCGTACCAAAAACACCAAGAACTCCATTATAGCAAAAATGATTGGCATAAATCACACATAACCAAATTGTAAACTTTAATCTCCCAACTACACAAGAAAATCACTTAACCACCTCAAAACTTAAAACCCCCGATCATTTAAACACAAATAGTAAACAATTCACTAGAATATAAGTAAAAAAGCAACAAGCTCTCACCATTTTCAATCAAAGATAAAAGTACTTGTTATCAACATTGAAACTCAAAAAACACACAAATCTGCAGTACCAGAAATCAGACATAGCCAAACAGAAAACTTTAATATCCTAACAACCTTAAAATTAGAAACCCCACATCAGCTAAATGCAGATACATCAAGCTTTTCACTTGAATATTATCAGATAAACAATGAAGTTTCACTTTTTCAATCAAAGATAAAAGTCCAAACATAGTCAACTTATAACAGTGAGCAAAACAAAAAGACACACACAAACCCATTGTAGCATAAATCACACATAGCTAAATAGCAAGCTTTAATCTCCTATTTACTCAAAAAATAAAAAAATAAAAAAATAAAAAATAACTTAATCACCTTAAAAATAAAAACCCCACATCATCTGAATGCAGATAGATCACTTGAACATTATCAGATAAGCAATGAACTCTCACCATTTCACTCAAAGATAAATCAACAGCACTTAAAATCAGCGTAATAACTCAAAAAAAAAAAAAAAAAAAAATCACTTCAAAGCTGAAAAAACCCACTTCATTTTTATCAAAAAAAGCAATAAACTCTCACCATCACAGTCAAATATAAAAGTCTCCACAGAGTCTATGAGTTCATCAGCGTTCTTCAAAGGCTGTGCTGAAGCTGAAACTTTCGTCACCAAATTGCTCTCCATTCTTGAACTCTTTCTAGTCTTCAAGCTAAACTTATTATTATTATTGTTAAAAAAACTATTTTTCCATGTAAAAACTAAATCATTTGAAGAAGCAAAAGAAACCCTTTTCAGACCGAAGTACGCGGCGCTTCTGGGATGGCTCAAGAGAGTTGTAGAAACTGCAGATGCCACTGATTTGCTCAGCATTTCTGTGAGTTTTAGCCGTTCTGTTTTGGGCTTATTTTTTTATTTTTATTCTTCTTTGTTTTTGTTTTTATTTTTGGGTGGTAGTTTGAAGTCGTTATGATTTGGAGGGTAAGCTGACGTGGCGGTTTGAGTGGTGATGCTTCCTATTTTGTCATCCGATGTATAATTTTTTTTTTGGGTGTATTTGATAATTAGATGGCAAGCATTGGATATAGAAATGGGTTTTTGTATATTTGTCCACTAAGTCCAAAGAAAACCGTTTATCAGATCTATATAAACAAATTATTTCCTATAAAGTAATGTATTAATTCTTACAATAATGTTTCTGCATACAACTTGATCATACAATTAGACAAAAATTATACAAAATTCATATAAAATGATTACTTTGTCCTTTGTTTTTTGTCTGATTATATGATTCAGTTGTGAGTCTAACATTACTCACTAGCATCTCAAATAATCTCACAAGATCTTGAAACTATCGTCCGAATCTACATAAACAAATTATTTCCTACAAAGTAATGTATTAATTCTTATGTTTTACATATCATTTACTTTATTTTTAATCATCAGGAGTGTCTGAGCCAACTTGTGTATATCTTAACTAATCTCCCAAGGTTTTGGAACTGTCGACCGAATAAGAGCCCTAATGGACCCCAGTTAATGTCTTGAAAGACTCAAACTCAGGAGCTCATAAAATCTCTTTTTGTTTTTTTTATCATTGGACCACCCAATGATTGTTATTTATCTTTAATTTTAATTATAAGAAGTTTTTTCTTGGTGTATGTGTGGCATATATGTTGATGTGGTGTGTCATAATTAGGCAACTGAGTTAGAATTTTTTTTTTTTTTTTAATTAGGCAACTGAGTTAGAATTTTTTTTTTTTTTTTGTTTTGTTAGAATGATGTAGATGCAAAAATCTACTGTTACGGAAGGAGGGACTAATCCCATGAGGTTGAGGCCACTAATGATCTGCTGCACCTGCAAATGTGAGCAAACAAGCGTGAAACAGATGGAAAATACCAGGGTGGTGTTTGCCGTAGGCACTCCGACGCTCAAGTCAGCAAGACTGAGTGAGGCTAGTTTTAGTGAGGGTTAGGGAAAGGAAGAGTTACTGGAAGTCTAGTCGGGGACTGTGACTACGGCTGTAATGCGAAGTTCTCAAGTGGGAACTCCAAGGTCTGAAGGTGTAATGTTTTCTGTCCTTTGTGAAAGGGCTGGCCTCAATTTAAATAGTAACTGTATGGTCTTCCAATCCTGGTGGGACTGGGAGTCCTTGTAGTGGTAGTTCTCCCAAAGGGTGTAACCTTTGGCTCCCTTATCTCGGCAGGAAAGGGAGTTCGACTGTGACTCGGATACAGACCTTGGAGGAATTGGGATAGTAGTTGACTTCCATATCAGAGTTCAAGTAGGAGTGTGATCCGTAGGCGACTGTGGATCTCGAATTGACCGTAAGCCTAGAAAGTGTTCTAGGATCAGGAGGCTTGGGTCCAGATGGTAAAATCCGACTGCACTTCATACCGAATGGGCCTTATTTGCAGAATTCTGAGTTAGGCCCCATCGAGATTGGGCCTAGGCTTTCATCTTTGTTAGAGGTGTTTCCTTATTTGGGCTGAGGACATTTTTTGGCCTTAACAGTTTGCCCCCCACTCTCTAAGTTAAGGAGTGCTTAACTTAGAGAGTAGGCATCACTTGGAGGAGTATCTAGTCGGCCTTCGTGGTCGACTGATTGATTGCGTGATCGTGCTCGTAGTCCATGAGTTTTTTGGTATGCCTGACCGGACGGATGGAAGCGACATGTGGTCATGAACACACTCGGTATCTTTAACCGAGTCGAAGTGTGTAATCAACCCAAGGGGTGCCATTAATCGGTGTATGGAGCTGAGCGAGTGGGTGTATGAGTGAACTGTCTCATGAAGGCGTATTCGCTCAGTGTGTCAGACCGAGTGTGTGAATGAATGAGTTATCTACTGAAGGTGTATTCACTCGGTGTGTCAGACCGAGTGCGTGAATGAATGAATTATCTATTGAAGGTGTATTCACTCGGTGTGTCAAACCGAGTACGTAAATGAATGAATTATCTATTGAAGGTGTATTCACTCGGTGTGTCAGACTGAGTGCATGAACGAATGAATTATCTATTGAAGTAGTATTCACTCGGTGTGTCAAACTGAGTGCGTGAATGAGTGAATTACCTATTGAAGGTATATTCACTCAATGTGTCAGACCGCGTGGGTGAATGAGTGAGGTATCTCATGAGGGTGAGTCGTTTGGCGAGTTAGACCGAATAGCTTGATACTCTTCATCTTTGTCGGTGCTTGTCTCGATGCTAAAAGTAGGTTTACCTGTTCCCGACCGACAGCCCAGTCGGGAGGACCTCTTGATTGGGTGAAACACTAAAAGTCATTGGCTACGCCGCGGATAATTGGTGTGCTTGAGCATAATAACTCGGTCGGGTAGACCGCGTGATTCAACATGGCACTTGCACAGGATCACGATTTCCTAGGTTACGCAGATCCTATCCATGTGTATGGTGGTGATTTTGTCTTCGTTTTGGGCGGGAAATCAAAGAGTCACTCTGCCCTATACCTAATGGAAGGCCGCCACGTGTCTCATTCAGTCAGGCTTCATTGTAACGCCCACATGAAGGTACGTAATTTAATTTATGCTCTGTACCTTTAGTTGATTTTTGTTAAAGTTATTTTGAGAAAATGCCTTAAACTTGCATTAAAGGTAAAATGCTCTTTTCACTCAAAATTAGTTGAAATTGTAGGGAGTGAAAAGAGATATAATTTCATGGAGAATGTAATAAAAATGAGGGCATTATGGTAATTGACTAAGGGACATAGATGAAATTTTAGAGAAAGTGCAAGGGCAAAATGGGAACACATGCTTATATTAATTGATATAAGACTTTATTTGAAGAAAACCTAACACATATTCAGCCTTTGTTCACGCCACTCTACCTATTTTTCTCTCAATTTTCTTCACTAAACTTCAAAGGAAAATCATAGGATTTGGTTTAGATTTTTGGAGATTTTCAATCTTCAAGCATCTTAAGGTAAAATTCTAGCAAAAGGAGTGTGATTAAACTTCAAAGTTTTAAATTCTTATGGTTTTTATATGATTTAGGTCCAAGAGGAAGAGATTTGGAGAAAAAGGGAAGTGATCTCACATATTCAAGGTAAGTAAACCTAATTTGAACCTTAATTTGAAAAACTTGTGTTGAATGAATTTTTGCATGTTTGTATGTGATGGTATGAGAGAATTATGGGCTGTTTTTTTTTATGTTTATTGATGTATTAATTCTAGCCATGAGAAGTAGTATATGGTTATGTGATAATTTGGTGAAGTTGTGGAAGATTTTTTGTTGAAATTTTTGAAGTGTAGAGAATTGTTGAAAATGGACAGATTTGATGCTATAATTAGTGAGTTTTTAGCTCACAATTTGGTTGAATTAGAGAGTTGTGGAAGTGTAGCCAACAAGGCAGTTGCATGTGCATATGAAGTGTTTGATGAAAATCCAAAGAGAAATTGCATGCATGAGTTGGTTAAACCCTAATGACGAAAGGGTTAGAGAAAGGAAAGGCTTGAAGTTTGGATGTATATTATTGATCTTTTAACCTGTTTTCACAGGAGAGAATGGTTAGGAAATGTTAGGGAGTAAGTGGAGGTAAATAGGTATGGAAAAGCCTTAAAGTAGGCATGTTACCAAGGTTGCCCTGTCAAATCTGTGACATTTTAAGTGATTTTTGGACATCTTACCTATCGAATTGGGTTGAGTCCTAAACATAAAAGTTGTAGCCCTTTCTCTAAGGTTTAAAATGAAGCCAAGATCATAGCAATCCGATGTGTATAACTCAAGATATGCCTTCTTAAATATGACATGTGCAGAATGATTATCTCAAAAGTGCTTCCACTTTATTAGTTTATTCGTAGTCTAATAATTTATAATTGATTCCAAGTATGAAAATGAGGCTTAAAGGGTTGTGAAACATGTTTGAATGAGTGGTCTTTATGATTATTTAATGATTTTATGAACATATATATTTGATGTAATGAATGACCATGTAGGCTATGTGTAATATGTTATATATCACCTAAGTATGAGCTTGTGTATGCATAAACAAGCCTAAGGATGATATGTTTCTATGAATTTGTTATGCATCCATGAACTAGTCATGATGAAATGATATGTTTATATATGGAAAGTGTATGTTTTTAAAGAATGCAAGTGTAGAATTTCCATAGTTTGGAAATTCATGTTGAAATGTGCATAGTATCTCTTTCTATTCTCTTTCTATATTATGCTATGATATAAGGTTTTTGCGATGGGGAACCCGTGAGTGATAGAGATGTCTACATACACGCCGCCCCAAGTGAGCGATATCAGCAGAGAGATACAATATTTATACAGTCCGTGAGTAGTGTATGTGGATGAGGATTATACCCAGTAGAGTATACCTACATGCACACCGCCATGAGCGAGCGGCTACATCAGAGAAATACAATACTTGTACGGTCCATGAGTAGTGCATGTAGATTAGGATTGTACCCACTCACAAAGCCAGGGTTTGAAATCCATGCATCAACCTAGTCTGATCGGCAAACTAGAAAGAAGAAATAAAAGAAACGAAAACAGAAAAGAAGAGAAAGAGATACTGTTAGTGTATATTAGTGTATGCCCTAGAAACCATTCGTGTTGTCGGTTTCAGAGCATTTTGTCTTGCATCTATATATATCATAAATAATAGAAGAAAGAGTTCTTCAATTCATATATGTAAATTGCTTCCTTTATTCAGTCATGCATTTAAAATAAAGTATGTATATGAATTGTCCAGATGATTCATTTAATAGGTAAATGAATTATCGAAAAGGGTTCCCTGCGGAAGCAATATAAATTTGGGCAACTATATTGTACAGTAGGCATACCGGATGCTTCCGAAAGATATCATGAGTTGATATAAGTACGGATGACGATGATAGTCATGTCACTAGGGCATTGGTATGGATT